TTTTTGCTGATGATTATACTGCAAAATATCTGATACTAGTTTGGAATCTCTTAAGCCGAGCAAGCCCTCTTGGACAAAGTACCCGTCGGGCAACTAACCTCCACCGGAGTAAAATGCTAAGGCAATACACAAAGATCTCCATAATTGGAATGAATTCCAGTACAGAGCATTAAATCAATTGACTCTCCCACAATCAATTCACTACTTCCAATTGAATAGCTCTCTTAACCCAATCAGATTCTATCTATCCTAGGTCACAACAAAAATCAAGAGAATGTGATCAAGATCCAATTGACTCAAAGAATCATGCCTCAATAGAATATCCTAAGTTTCATACAAGAGAGATCCTAACACAAAGATCCCTAGGTCAAGAAATGGAACTTAAAATCACTATTAGAGGTCAATTCTGTCACCAAAGGTTGAAGATTGAAGTGCAAAAACAATAACCCACCCCTATATGATGTTTTCTTCTATTGATTTGGTGTATTTCTCTGTCTATCACTATGAGCTAAACTTTCTATCACTTGGACGTTGTGAAATTCTAGTTGTATGTGTTAGATTACATGAATAATTGATTTTGTTGTTTGATTGAGTCTTGGTTATATATAGATTTGAGGTCATTCATGAATTGTGTTATATTGATCAAATCCTTCCAATTATGGCTATTAATATATGATAGAGAATATCTAATTAGGTTGATTAGACCACTTACCTCATTCCTCATTGTGGTTCAATGGTACAAGTGTGAATTCGGGCTACAATGTCGTATTGGATCGTATTCCAATAGAGGTAATCTATTTGGCACGCCCTAGACGTTCTATTTTGCCAGATATGAAAACTCTCCCATAAGTGAGTTTGAGTAACTCAAGAGGGAGCTCAAGCGCGAATCGGATTCCATGGTGTAAATCATGAGTCAAAAAACTTAGATGATCATTCATCAATCTAATTTGCAACTAGAGGGAAACAACACCCAAATACCTTTCTCACTGTAGTTTTCGACCAAACTTTCTTTGCTTTGTTTGGTAGTTGATTAGTTAATTCAAACATTGATTTCCTAGATAACAAGTTAGTATGTGAAGTAATAGTATATTTGTCATCTGCGTTGATAATTAAACTTCACTTACAATATTGGGATAGTAGTGCTAGTAAGAAAGAGTCGGCATGTCGATAAAACGATTCGCCAAATACTACACCTTTCGGTAGTGGCAGATATAGTGGCGTTGAATAGTTGTGAAGAGCTTGCTGAGGATGAAAACTTAGACAAGAAAATGTTTCCTCGGAAATTCGTGCCCAAAGAGCGTAACTCTATTCTGGTGGATGTTGCATGAAAATAAGCATAATGAATTCAACGCCAACAGGCTGTAATGAAGGGCTCGTTTTTTGTTGTGTGAAGACAGGAAAGGAAAGGAGAGGAGAAGACAAAAAAAGGAGAGGAAATGAGTAAAAGAAATTTTCAAGTGGGCGTTTGGGCGGAAGGTTTGGTGGTAGTTAGGAGAAAATTTTGGGCGTATCGTGAAAAATATCATAGCCAATTTTGGGTTGGTTGCAACCGACACAATTCGAGAAAAATTCTCAGTTTTAACCAACACTAAAAGTAGCCGACAGAGATACCGAAAAAAATTCTCAAAAAATAAATTTTAAATTTTTTGTGTTGGTAATAACTAACGCAAGTTACCATTTCGTGTTGGTTAAACCGATACGAAATATGATCAACACAAATTATCAAAAATTTGTTTCGGTTACTGTACCGACGCAAATGTTCGACTAGAATTATTAATTTTGTGCTAATTCACTTAACCCCACAACATAACTTACAACAAACCCATTTTTCCTTGGAGTAACAACTGATTTATTACTAAGACTGTCTCCAACCCAAGCATGCAAATTTGGGGAAATGGAGGTTTTTGGCTTTTTTCATCTCCAACCCACCAATTATTTGGCTTGCATATTTGGAGAAGTGGGCTTGGGGGTGGATAGATAGAAGCTGATATGGAAAAAATGCAAGGAGAAGGTGGGGGACCAACCATGGAACCCAAGCTCACACGCTGGGGCCCTCCACTTTCCAGCATCTTTTTTTTTTTTTTACTTTCTTAATTTTTGATTGGTTGGTTACGAGTTGGGAAGGCAAATTTAGAAGGTTTAGGGTTGGAGCAAAAAAGTGTTTTGGAAGGTAAAAATGCACATTTGAGAGCTTGAGAGGCTAAATATAACCTTTTGAGTTGGAGTTAGTCTAAGAGCATAAGTACACATTTATATATGTAAATTCATCTCTCTCCTGCTCTAACAAGGTAAAATCAAGGTTGTCAACCCGCGGGTTGACCCGGACCCGATCGAGCTAGTGAGTCAAGGGTTAATGGGTCAACCGTTTTAGCCCGGTTTGGCCCGGAAATATAGAAAGAGTCATTATATTGTACTTATCCTCATAAATTATATCAAATCTTATCTAACATATGAGTTATAACATATAATATTACACCAAAATAACATATCGTACTTAGATCCAACATATAGTGAAAATTCACACACACTTATATGTTATATTCAAATGTTCAACTTAATATTCAAATGTTGACACACTTATAATGGGACAACCTTGCGTACAATCTTCCTCCTAGAACAACTTTGGCTACTTCCTATGCAAGAAAAAAAAATTAATTAATAATAATGCTAAAAAACTAAACTTGATATCTCAAATAACAAAATAATAATAATAATCTCATAGATAATTAATACGAAAACTAAAAAATAATAATAAACTAAACATTCCTGGTAATGCATAAAGACAAAATTGCAGAGGATATGCAGTTACTTCGGTGAACAAAAAATTGAGAGTGGTTTGGAAGAGCTAACCGACAATAATGTTAGGGTGTTAGGGGTGTTCAAATGGTTATAATGTTAATTATCAAGTCAAACAAGACAAAATTTTATTAATTATAGAATAAAATATTATAACCGAACCGTCCAAATTAATATAACAACCAAATTAACCGTACTAAATTTTAATCGGTTTGGTTAATTGGTTAACCAGATTAACCAATTTAACATCACATTATCATTAAGTGATAAACGTTTCAGTTATGCATCAATTCCCAATTTATATGATGAATAAAATATTACAATGAACACATAGTTATAGTTATCCCTTAGAGAAATACATGCAACTAATACAATTATCTTACAGTCAATAGAAGTATTCACCTAACAAAAGTATATGTCAATAGTATGGAGTTAATTAATTGTTGTGATGTTGTGCATTGAATTAATCTCTTCGCAATTATCATAGATTAGAAAATACATTTCTTTCAAGTTTTTATCTAATATATTGTATAAGTTTTATCTAAATCGGGCGTTCATATATTATGATCTACACTCTACAAATACAAATATACAGTATAGGAACTATATTGAGCTTTATTGTTGATGAGCCTCAAAGGAAGAATGTTTGGCTCTTGGGTGATTACGCATGCTATTAAGTATGCGTATATAATATATATTAGATATATGAATAATTACTTAATTGGTTAATTTGATTTGATTGGTTAGGAATGTCTGAAACCAAACCAAACAAACTAAATTTTTTAACCAAACCAAATTAGCCAAATATTACCGGTTAAAGCGGTTACCGCAGTAACCACACCATTTGAACACCCCTGGACAATGTGGTATAATTGTAGAGTCATGTAACTCATTATTTTCTATTTGTACTCTTTATGTGTTATCTGAAAAAAGTGGAGGATCAATTATCTTGTTTGGATAATTATCTTGTTTGGATGAACCAAAATAATGAGTATTTTCATAAGTGGATGATCAATTATCTTGTTGCGATTAACTAAGATAATAAGTATTTTCTTGTAACATAAAGAGGTGAAAGTGTAGGAAGAAATAATTATTTAATTAGAAATAATAAGGGGCTTAAGTTATTTAGAATAACTCTTTTTTTAGTTATTTGAAAATAATACCGGTTAAAAATACTAATGAGTGTATTGAATTGCCTAACGAGTTGTTATGACCCAAAATAACTCATTACAAATTATTTGGACAAAAATAATTCATACAAACCACTCCTGAAGGAATCAAACCCATTGTGCCGTTTCCTTTTCTTGCCCTCTTAGCATAATGTTTTGTTCGAAACACTCAGAACCCACAGCCCAGTTGATACTTCACATACACACTCCCACTGTTCTATGCCCTTTGCATAGTCAAGTTGAGCTGAGAATTTGTTCCTTCTATCCCATCATGAAACCAACTCCCTTTGGCATCCAACCCACTACTCTTTCATTATTCCCCCCTTACTTCCTTTGTATTCATAGCATCATCCCACTTCCTAACCTTTCTTTCTTAATAGCTAACTTTGCTAGTGATTCCTTCTCCCCATAAGTTTACCACAAATATCTTATACCAGGAGAAGGCTTCTATTTTCTTTGTTTCCTTTCTTAAGAAAGTTTATTTCCGGCCCCATGAGCATCTTCTTCCTTTTGTTTCATGTACGTGCTTCAAGTTTATAGTTGATTAGGTAACCATGAATTCTTTCTACCGAGCGGCGGACCAAAAATTATTGAACAAATGTGTCGCTCTATAAAAGTGGGTCGGTTATAATTATATTAAACTAGTTAAGTCAGAGGTTTTAGATTTGATTTTTTTTTTCTACGGACGAAATCTAAGTTTCTCACAAAAACTTCGAATGGATGAGTGTCGGCCGACACACCTCCCAATCATATATGACTATGCTTCTACTTCTACCCACTAATTTAAATGGTGAATTATATTAGTTTTCTTGTTTCATTTGAGTTCGGATACTATATATAGTTAATATCATGTATTCTAATGGTTTTGAAAATTAAATCACATGATTTCTTTAAATTCATTTCTTTCTTTAAATACTATTTGCCAAAGCAACCCATCGTGTTGGGTGGAGTATGGAATCAGTACCTAATAAGCAAGAACATCAAAGTTAGTGGAACGACTATAAATATGCCTTCAACTAACTCATTCATTTTTGTAACTGAACCCTTCATCGTCTCAACTTCTCTTATTGGCTTCACTCTGCCCACAGCCCTCTCTCTTTTACTTTCCTTCTCTTCTCCAACTTCCTTCTCAGATTACATGGCAACTTCTCAGGTGCGATTATCTTAGTTACATGTACTCCTACTCCAACAAATATATAAATTGTTACTATATTCGTCACCAACTGCGTCATAATGACTGTCTGAGTGATTGATTTGATCCAGGTTGATGCAGAGCAAGCAGAGAAATCGGTACAGGAATTGCCATCCTACGAGGAAAAGAAATCATCCGCAGGAACCGAAGAAGCTGAGGTGGTCATTCCCGGAGACGGGGAAGAAGAAGTTGGGGTGAAGGGTAGTGACCAATCGAAGGAGAAAAGCCCTGCAGAGACAGAGGAAGAAGAGGAGGAGCTGTGGCCGCCGGCAGAGCACCATTCCCCAATTACCGGCGACGGTGAAGATACCGAGGAGGCCGAGGGGACGGCAGCCGCCGTGCCTACGTTTGATGATGAAGAGGACGAGAAAGATGAGGAAGAAGATGAAGATGACATGATCTGATCTGATCTGATCTGATGAGTTTGAAGGACCCAACAAGTATGTGGATGGGATGTGGTTGTGCTATACCTCTGCAGATTTCATTGCTCTGCTTTCTAGCTTTATTTGTGTTTCTGCTTTGATTAGAGTCTTGGGAACTAATAACTCGATGACATGGTTGTGATGGTTTGGTGGCCAGTTTGTATCAATTTCAGTTTACTTACTACTACTGCTGCTGTACTGTTCCAGGAATTGGTTAAAGCTTTGCTTTTGATTTGGCTTTCTTGTTTCGGTTTTCATGAGGTTATTCCTTTGGTTTAATGAATGAGTTGAGAAGTTTAGGCCCTGTTCACTTTTATTTTCGTTTCCTATTTTCTGTTTTCATGTCATAAATTTGACAACTGAAATAAGAAAACTTGTTTACTTTTCATTATGTTTTCTGTTCGTTTCCAACTATGTAAACAGAAAGTGGCAACTTCCTACTGTTTTCAGAAACGAAAAAATGTTGTTTTCACTTGTTTTCACCATCTGTTTTCTCAAAAACAGGAAACAGAAATGAAAGTAAACAGGCCCTTAGAGTTTATGTGACTTGTTTTTTCTTTTTACACGGACAATATTATTTCAAAGTTTAGTCTTCCTTAACCTTGATAGTTAATAATCAACGGCCAATATATTGACCAATAATGTGTCATAGGACGTGAATTATTTTGCCACGTCATTTAATAAAAAGGTAAATAGATTAATTTACAAATTTTAAATTTTTTAATGAAATGTTTTTAAAAATCAATCGAGATTTCAACCGCTCTACCTTGGCCCTAACTTATACTAGCTTCAACCCTGCCCGTTGGGCAGGTATTCTTTATATATATTTTTTGTAATATCCCATAATATTTTGGTAACATGAAATTAGGCATCATAAAAACATTATAAACTGATTCTTTGTTATTGATTATGGTGGTTCTTACTTCTTAGTTATTCTTAGTTATGGAGGTAAAGTTCGTATGGTCAAGATTTATAAGAACCGATAATATTTTGCTTTTCATGCTTGATTGATGTCTATATGTTTTTTGTTGTTTTTTTCGCCATGATTTGTTGAATGGTCTTATATACTCACCTTAACGGCAAGGAGAAAAGAAAAGAAACAAAACGGCCTTTCATACTTACATTGATAAAAATTTCAAATCTTCTCAACCACTCATCGTAATATCTTTTTGTTGACGATCATATCATAACTAATGCCAAAGCTCAACAAATGATGAGTTTGGATCTTTGACTTATATTTTTATTGTCAATTATTATTCTCAAGCTATGAAAAACATATGAAAATATCTCTTAAATATCCTTAATATAGGAAAATGTATTTGAATAAATTAGTTTTTGCCTCAAATCTCTACTCAAGAGAATCAGTCAGAATTTAATAACAACACCTTGAAAGCATCACTTCAATCAAAAGCAAATGGCTAATCTCATGAAAGCCTTGTCAAATTTGCAATAAAATGTTAAGAAATATATGTCAATTTTCCACATTCTTAGCATTAAGGAAAGGAAAAGAAACTCAGATCAAGCGATTAAGGGAAAATATATAAACAAAAAGTCAAAGATAAACTGCAAGCGGCAACAACGAACATTAACTGGGTAGTGAAGAAGCAACAGGTACAATACTCAATAATCATTATGCCATAAAACAATGTTCAGGCCTATGATTAGTGAGAAACCGAAAAATAAGAGAGGGAAACAACTAAATGATGCAAACAAAGTGCAACAGTGAAATCGACGTTGCAGATGGGTTTCGCTATTAGTGGGCAAACCTGCGGAGGCAAATACCAACAATACTGGTCCAACACAGTGAAGAAAGAAGGAACCTGGGTAAGAAATTCAATTGAATACAATGGAAGTTGGATTAGGACGTAGGTTTTCTGGGTCTGAATTGCGGCCTCTTACTGGGAGACTAAAGGGAGAATTCAACATAGAATTGGGTAGCGCAATTGACGGAATTCGACTGGTAAGGGCTCTTGGTGAAGGAGTCGGATCTGTGGCGGGATTTCTACCAGCGACAACGAATTGAAGGAGTTCGTTAGAGGACCCGATAGCGACGGCAGCGGAGTGCTCGTGTGAGCAAAATCACCGCCGGAAGGAGGATATGGAGTGGTGGAGAAATAACGGTTATAAGAAAGTTTTTACCGTAGGGAATATGAGACTTTTCCAATTGCACATAGAAGATAGAACGGCAAGGTAAGGGTGGAGGAAGGGGAGAAGGAACCGCCGTCGTGGTGGGTTATTGGGTTTTTTTCCGGAAGTAAACAAACGGCGGAACGGGCGTCAACAAATAGAAGAAAGGGTTGCTGACGTGGATAGCTTCGGGTTTCAGTATGGAGTACGTGGCATGGGGCTAAATCTAAAAGGCCTTTAATAATTTTATAGATTTATCGATGTCGACTCTTTCTTTATCTCTCTCTTCGGCACCAATAGCAACTCCAGCTCCAGAGTCCCTATGTGCCCCCCCGGGCTTCCCTCTACGCCTCTTCTTCCTCTTACCATTAAAACCCAAAAGAAAAATAAATTACAAATTGACAAACAAATTCATTGATGACCCTCTTCTTCATCTTCCTTAACGTCGCGGTAATCCTCTTCCTCGTCACCGTAGTCCTCTATCATTCCACAAACATCAATCCGTCTACCCCCAATAATGACAAAATCATCCAGCCCGGGATTCACATCCTTATCTAATAACATATCTAGTTTGTGAAACCCTAACGCCTTAGTCTCTTCCTTTCATATTCTACCTATTATAGGCATATCAAAGTAAGAAGACCAAAACAACTCCTTACAGTTTGTTTGGTATCTTGGTGAGGAAACCCAGTACAACCTTGTGGAGAAATAAGAACAAAATGGAATGGGAAAACAACATCATTTGAGTAAGTGTTTGGTATCCCAGATTGGAGCTTCTCATGAACCAGGTGGAAGTCGAGCCTAATGTGTTTGGTACGTTTGTGTTAGAAGAGTTTCTTGGCAATGTAGATGCCACTATGATTCTCACAATATACAGCTGTTATATGATGTTCAACCTGAAATCACAAAGTAAGTAAAGAAACAGTTAAATCTCATTAGTGGTATAGGTCGGATCACAATATTCAGCTTCGCAGGAAGAACACAAAACAATCTTCTACTTCTTGCTTTTTGGTCGCTTGCGTGATCGAGATTTAAATAAGTCGATGCACACTCTCTAGTCAATCCTAACAAGGCCAAGTATAACCTAACTAGGGATGTAGTAAAGTGGCTCGGTCATATTCCAAGGGTCACAGCATCCTAGGCTACTTAGACTCGATCATTATCTAGTCAACCTATTGTTTAGCAGGTGGGCAGCTGACGATTCCTAAACTAAAGATCGATAGATGAAAAGAGGTATTCGTGGTAATTCCGTCACCCTAGTCTAGGTCTACTATGCAATGTCTAGATAATTAGGGTTTGTCGAATGTGGTGACTGAGCCCTATTCGTTGGATTTCCAAGTTATCCACAAGCCTCTAAGTACGCCTCCCCTAAACCCATGCCAGTCACCTCGATCTAGGCTATCATATCTGGGGCATTAAGCTCATAGCTCATATCAATGGGTCCAGCCGACGAGAAAGAAATGGAGCAGGAAGTTGAGGTGCCTGCTCCCACAATGCAAGCAGTGGTGAAGGAGTATGTTCCTCAGCTCCCATTTCCTACCTGATTCCACAAAGACCATCCGAAGACTGAGTTTTCCAAATTCATGGCAATGTTGAAGCAGATGAACCATTTCTTGACAGTAGGGCCATTTGCATAACCTAAACCATTATTCTGCATTTCCATTCTGCGACTACACTTGGTCACAGCTTGGTGTTGTGTCGTAGTGTGTCATGTTTTTGGCACCTTTGCTAGGGACCCTCTAGGTTACTGAAGAAACGTGAACATCTGTTACTTTAGCATTTACTTTTCTTCATTTTCCTTCTTCCCCATGTGTGCCTTCACGAGTTGTGCTTGCAGTCTGTGTGCAGGTAGTGCATGAGCCGTAGCCAGTCAGGAGTGCTATATTTGTTAGACCAAGAGCTCGAACGAACCTGTCGTAACCTCAAGCGAACTTTGAAGGCGCGACTGGCTGCGGAGGAAGCTTTGGAGCAGGTGAAAATCAACCATGAGTATGACATGGGTGAACCCAACAATGGCGGTGACATTGTTCCCGATGAGCATACCATGCGATACTACTGGACCGTCAGAGGCGCATACATGAGGTCGCCCATGCAGCACCCTCAAGTTCCAGCTAACAACTTTGAGGTGAGCACCTCTGTCATCACCATGCTGCGCAGCTCGGTGGTATTCCATGGGAAATCGGGCGAGTGCCCCAGATCGCACCTAAGGCGATTCCACGAGTTGATCCATGGAATCAAGATTAATGGGGTCCCTACAGACGCCATCCAGCTGAGGTACTTCCCATTTACTCTGGAGGGACATGCAAAGGAGTGGTTGGATACCCGGCCTTCGGGATCGATCACTACATTCACCAGCCTGGCCGACAAGTTCCTCACCTGCTATCATCCCCCATCTAAGACAGGGGACCTGCAGAAGGAGATCACTCATTTTGTACAAGAAGAAGATAAGACCATCCGGGATGCGTGGGAGAGATACCCCAGTCTCTTTCTAAAGTGTCCCAATCATGGCTTCAACGACGCTTTCAGGGTGGGTATCTTCTACCGGGGCTATCTTCCCTGAAGATAAGCAGTTGATCGACTCGATGTGTGGCGTCAACATGATGACCAAGACACCACCACAGTTTAATTAGCTATTTGAGGAGATGGCATAAAAGGGATATGATTGGGGGACTGCTAGGAGGTCGAGGCAAGCACCAGGCCGGGGTGTGCATGCAGTAGACACCCAGTCATTTGACTTGGTGCAGGTTGTCTCAAAGCTGGTCATGCAACTAGATAAAGATGGCATGATCTTTGGAGGATCTGTGCAATAGCCGGTGGCGCAATGCAGTGGTGCGAGAGGAACCACCACACGGTGAAAGACTGGCATGCGATGAGGGAGTCTACCACCCCCCAAGAGCATATGGACTTCATCAACAATGCTCTCCGTTTCGACCCCAATAGTAACACTTATAACGAGGGGTGGCGCCAGCATCCCAAATTCTCTTGGAATGGTAATAATAATCCTAAGCCACCAGTCTCCTAGGGGCCTCCACATTTTTAGAGGCCACCATACCAGGGCTGCCAGGGTCAATTCCAGCCTCAGCAGCAACAACTCTATTCGGCCAGGCAGGGGCAAGCTATCGTTCAGAAACAGCAGAGACAATTTTAGCAGCTGGGACCCACGGCGCCAGCCCCATTTCAGACTGACCCTATGGTCAAGTTGCCCGACGTAGTGGCAGGCCTTGCCAACACCAGTGCTACTAAATTCGGCAACCTGGAGCAGGTCATGGAGAAGGCTTCCG